TGAAACTAATTGTTTAATTAATGTACAGTCATTCTAATTTCTTCTGGATAATAAATCTATTAAAACTGTCTAATACTTAAAACTAGAAACCAGAAATGGGACTCACTAAACTATCCAAATGAACCCTATAAATAAGGAGATCGCAAGTCAAAAATTAAAATTAGTCTACTAGTTCCTTCTCAAAACTTATTTTGTTCTTACCATGACACTTTTACATTTAAAAAAAAATTTCTATAACTTTGTCTCTGATGAAGCTCTAATAAAAGTGAAACATGTTAGATTGATAAATATTTGCTATTTGTTTGTTGATGCCAACATAAAAGCTAGTCAGACAACAAAGAGTGGACAGTCATGACAATGTCGGAACTCCTGAGAGTCACCACCAACACACCATCCTGGTGGAAGTTGTCCATTTCTTCCCACCCCACCAACAATTGAAGCAGTTAAGGGACTGATGATGATGATGATAATTGTGTTAATTCCTATATTCTGATACATCAATAAGCTCACAGCTTTCTTCTATGTGCCATATTCCTTCAGGTTCAGAAAACCAGGTTGGTGATCATGGCTCTCCACAACTTCCTAACCTTTGGAGCTCTTAATAAATTTTGTCTTTTTATTATCTCTCCTAAACTTTGTCCTGCCATCCATTTACTCAAGCTCACTAGGCAGGTAATGCATTGTTTACCTTTGTCCCTCTTGCCTTCGATATGTCCTGTCATTTTCCTCCGTGTTATATATTAAATAAAAAGGCAGACTAGGCACTCTAGTTGAGGTTGGTAACCAGTCAAGAAGGATATTGATTGATTCATTCATTTTCTACAGCTTATCAACCCATTGCAGGTTATTTAAATTTTTTTTTTTTTTTTTTTTTAGATAATGATTTAGTGATACAAGCCTGAATATTTAATCCATAGCTGGGGGGAGAAGAGGTAGTTTCATACCTTTCTTAGGGGCATTTGAATATAACTCAACTGGAATTGGAACTTGGTTCTCTGATTAAGAATTTCAAGTCATCATCCATTACACCACCTGCACATCCAAGCTTACAGCACCTGATATTATCAAGCAGTCATTCATTTAGGTCCTGACCAGGCTAGATGTTGCTTAACTCCAATGATTTTACAGGGATCAGTGTTTCAACATGATGTGGCCATAAGCCACAGGAAGAAGAATGCTGAATTTAATAATTAGAAAGTAGAAAGCAATGGGAAATAATGCTGTTTTCAGCTATTAACAAAAGGAAGGAAAATGTGGAGATCCATAATTGTCTACATCCTTGAAAGAATGAGATATCAAACATTATTCTGTTAAAATTCTAAATCAAATTCACTTTATTACACATCAGGGTAAAAACTTACTGATCCACCCCTGTATATCCTGAATTGGTTAAACATCTTACCCCATATAGTCTTCTTTCAGATAACCACTATGGCTTTTGCTTCTCTAGGTCAACTGAGGATGTGTTAATGATCATTGTTGAAAGATGTTTTTAGATAAAAATGGTGAAGCTCAGGCTGTTGCTTTGGATATCTTGAAGACATTTGGCATATTGGATTTCTTCACAAGTTGAAAGATTATTGTATTTCTGAACAAATTTTTGAACTGAGTCAATCTTTCTTATTAAATCGTGAAATCAAAGTTATCTTGAATAGTCACTCTTCTAGGTCTTTTAGTGTTAATGTATGCGTTTCTTAGGGTTCTATCAATTGTTACTAATTTTCATAAATGATCTTCCTGATGTGATCAGTTCTCAACTTGGCATCTATGCTGATGGTACGACTATTTACACCTGTCTTCATAGTAAGTCTGATCAGTTTGATAAGGTCAAATTGTCAGCTGATCTCAAAAAAATTCTATGCCAATAGTTTCTTCTATCACACTTCTCACTTGTGGAACTCTCTTCCTGCTTCTTGTTTGCCCAGTCAACTTTGATCTTAAAAATTTTAAATGCAATGTCAATCTTTATCTTCTGTCTTAATTTTTATTCTTTTATTGACCTCTCTCCTTAATAGTATATTTTCTCATATTCTCTAACACTCAGTAACCCTTTGCATTTTAGTAGATTAATTGCTTTGCATGGGCTGAAAATATATATATATATATATATATATATATATATATATATATAATTGATAAAAAGGTCATTATGCTTTCTAAATTTATTAATATTCTAAAATATTTTTTGTTATTACATTTTGATGCTATTTATACATTAAAAAATATTGGAATATTTCAAAGAATGTGAATTTTATAATTCTCAAAATATTAGAATCTTTGTCTTTTTAATGAAGAATGGTCAAAATTTTTTAATTAAGATGCCCCCAACAGTCATGAACAGTACTTTTTTTTTTTTGAAGACCAGGTAGATTAAATTGGGGAATATCCTGTGTGTAGAGTAATGATAAGTAAAACAGTAAACGGAGATATTCTTTGAATTAATATATAATAAGTCTATTAAATATGGAACACACACACATACATACATATATATATATATATATATATATATATATAACTTTTACTACACATACACACTGATAGACACATGAGTGGATGCAAACAAAAACCCAAAAAACCTGACAAACTTGAACATTTTGCCTGCAAAAAATGGAGTGTCAAACAATTTTTACATTGACACTGCTATTATTTTAACTACCTTCCATCTTCAGCAGTGTTTGCTTTAAAAAGGGATGATTAAAATTGTAATAAAACATAAAACCTAAACATGATAAAAGTGAATTTATACATTTTTTTTGTTCTTGAGAATTTGCAACAAAAATACATAAATTTATAAACATTTTCCTAAATTAAAATATGTGAACTATAAAGAAATCCTTATTATTTACCATTTTATAAAGTTCAAATCAATTGACAATTAGCCAACAATTTGTCAATCATTTCAATAAACAGTAAATAGTGTAAATAAACAATCTAATAAATAAATAGTGTTTATTATTTTTGTTGTCAATTCTCAAGAACAAAGAAAATGTATAAATACACATTAATATGTTTAGGTTTTATTAGAATTCTAATTATCACTTTTTAACAGAATAAATATTGCCAAGGAGTGAAGGTAGTTAAAATAATAGTAGTGTCAAGGGAAAAACTGTCCTTTTGACACTCCATTTTGTTTTTGTGGGCATGAAGGTCTAAGATTGCCAACAATCCTTTATTTTCTTTTGTATGTTGAACTCATTCAGTTATTAACACAAGGGATGAACTGAAAAGTTATCAGTTATTTTTGTGGGCACAAAGATCCAAGTTTACCAAAAACTTTTTTAAAATTAAGGATAAAATGTTTTTTATGCAATCCATCAAATACATACAATCTGTTTTCATACCTTGATCAACATAAATGAATTTCTAAGAAATAAATTCAATGTAAATTCAATACTAATAGGTATTTCTCAAAAACATATTTAATACTTCCAAGTTGAACAATGAATTAATTAAATAATAAATAGTATTAAATAAAAATCATAAACCCAGAAATAGTAAATTGACCTCATGAAAAAGGTAACCAAGTTTAGGAAGTGGAATTAAATTCAGTTTGCATGCTCCTACTGTTATCATGTGCTAATGTTCTTGCAAAGGCATGAACCCAAATTTCCCAACAGCTTGTTCCCTTTTCAGTCATTGTCTACTTACTGGCACAATGATATAAGTAAGAGAGATTGATAAAAATCTCTTATACTCTGATTCTAACCAGCAAGTGCGCTGGTAGTTTCTTTTCATTTCTTTCTTTATTTTTGCTACATCTACCTTTTTCAAGATGACTGAAAAATCTGACGTAATTAAAAAGAAAAATAGTCAACTTAAGAGATTTACTAAAGACGTACTGTTCTTTTGTAAATTTGATGATTGTTGCTCCAGATTTGAAGTCAATATATAATGAGAAACACTCCAAGTGGCTAAATCTTTGAGAAATTATAACAATTAATTTTTGAACTTAGCCCATAAAATTTTATTAGAAAATGGCATAAAATTTCCACTAAAAATCTATTACATATAATATACAATTGGTATTTTCTTCATACAGTGTAAGTATTTTGTGAGTGTCATATAATTCATATCTATGGGTCTATATAATTATACAGTTCATAGCCAATGTAGATGTTCTATATAATTATACAGCTCATAGCCAGTGTGGATGTTCTGTATAGTTATACAGTTCATAGTCATTATGGAGATTCTATATAGTTATACAGTTCGTAGTCATTATGGAGATTCTATATAGTTATACAGTTCATGGTCAGAGGGGGGGTTCTATATAGTTATACAGTTCATGACCATTTTTAAAAATCAATGTATTAACAGTTTGTTCTCCCCGCCTCTATGCTAATGAGATAATCCATTGTTGTGATAATAAAAATCATGCTTTTTTACTGTAATGAACCCATGTGTTTTGTTAATGTAATAGGGAGATGAGCTCAAGCTGCATGACTAACAAATAAAGTGACATTGTGTTTTGCATATAATAGATGTTTTTGTTTTTTTTTATACATATCTTAGGTGAGATTTTGATGCCTTATCTGTATTTAAAATGTACAACATCCATATAAAATATGTTAAAAGTAATTGAATCTAATTTAATAAGAACTCTAAATAAAGATGACATTCAAACTAAATAACTGAATCATAATAAATCAAGTTCTCTGAAAGAAGATTTTACGATGACCATGCAACTGTGACTAATGAATTTAATTTATAAAAGGTATTTAAAAAGAGAGATAAAGGAAGATTTTGAGAAATTTCCTCCAATAAAATCTTTTAGAATATTAAATGAAATCAAATGTTAAAATAATATGAATAAATAAAAGAATATTTTTAAAAAAAAATAAATGTAAAGTAATAAGTATCTTTTAACAGTTCTATACAAATTCTATGAGAAAACTATTAGATATTATGATATACATAGTTATCATCAATAATCTGTTTAAAATCAATTTAAAAGACAGGTGAAAGAAATGTTTATAGGTTAGAAATTTTGTACAAACCTTTGTAGTTGAGCTGACTGATGCATTATGGTCCAATAGGAATCGAACCATATTGGTTTGACCAAAATGGCAGGCTGTGTGGAGTGGAGTGTAGCCAGCCTAGAAAAGTAAAAAGTCAGCATTACAAATAATATTCAGAAATATAGAAACAGAATTTTCTTAAATACTATATTAAAAGAAATAAGGCAAATATAAAGGAAGTCATGTATTGTGATGTCTTTGGAATTTAATATAATATTTAAGTAAAGACTGGCTGATAACATTAATAGTAAGTAATAGCTAACTGCTCACATCTGAGTATGGATGTCTGCTAGGGGTAGCTAGCCAATTCCCATTGCAGATACCTGCTCAAGCACATTTGTCTTTGCGCAACACCCATAAAGCCCACCTGTGGTTTATAATGCTACTACACTGAGTGAACTTTAGTTAGTTTCTGGGAAAGAGCATATTATCTAGCAGGATCAACAGTTTGAACAGGGTCAGTACACACAAACTTTATGATAGCATTAAGCAAAGGATATAAAATTTTAAAAAATTCATATTCACTTCTATGAATTCATTGTTATAAACAGAGTCACATAAAAAAATGAATACAAAATTTTATTCTTTTTAACTCATCTTAAATTTTGGAGTTTAGAACAAGAAATTTTGACAAAATATGTTAAAAAAAACAACTGTTTATTATTGGGGTTTAAAGGTTAAATGAATTTTTTAAGTTAAGTGAATTTTTAAAAAATAAAACTTTTTATAAATTATGAATTAACAAGAAATATTCAAAAATTCTTTCAAAATTTTTTTATAAATTTATTTAAAAACAAAATCATGAAACAGCACATTTTGATACATAATGGCTGCTTTGCTCTTAGAATTTTCTGAAAGTATGATGCCAAATACAAAACAAAAAGATTTTAATATTTAATTAAATATTTTTATATCTTTAACGATATGAGTGGGTGCTGAAAAGTTTTCAGTCCAACCTATTGTATATACTCATGCATAAGCTAACTCCATGTATAGTGTAGCCCCTAAAATTTTTTTTCATGAAATTTAACCCCTCTAAAAAAAAAAAAAAAAAAAAAAAAAATTACCTGTGTATAGCACAACTGGCCACCGAATATGCATAAGTTTTAAACTCTTCAGAAAATTACCCATGTATAGTGTGACCCTGTATTTTTTGTGTCACAAGCTGATAAATAAAAATTTATACTGTACTCAAGCATATACAGTACTTCCCAAAACCTGACCAAATAAACAAACATCAGATGTTTTTAGAATTTTTTTCTTGATTGGACTGAGAACATTCTGGTGCCACCTCATACAATGAATCTTAAAATAGTGAAAATATATCTAACCTTTGTTTGAGGGTCAATTTCAGAACCAAATTTAACCAAAACTTCTGCCACATTGACTTTGTCTTCTTGGGCAGCAAGGTGAATTGGAGCCAATCCATTCTGCAAAAAAGATAATCCATTATTGCATATAACAATCAAATTTTATACAATTTAAAAAAGAATTTAAACAATATCCCTATGAATTTTATATATAAAATGTGAAGTGCTCCAAAATTAGATCCAGTTCATCCACATAATAGGTAAAGACGTAGTGTAACTGTGGCAGCCATGAAACATAGTAATTAACACTGACCACATAATGAGTCTTGAGCTAGAAGGATGGGACAAGTTCCAGGCAAACATCAACAACATGTAGAATGGGTGGGCATTGACAGGTGATGCAAATGACAAGGATGGTAACCATTAAACAAAAGAGAATATTGCATCAAATCTTATATCAGTTCAATGCTGGTGCTTCTAAACCCATCAATCAACTGTACAACATATACTGAAATTTATGGGGTTTCATAGTTGTTGCCAAGAGTACCATTATTGGCACGGCATTGGTTACTAAAACAAGGAACATCATCAGTGGACTCTGAAAGATATTAACATGTTGCTTGGTCAAACAAAGTAAGTTCCCAGGATTTTGAAGAAGCTGACAATTACATAGGAAACAAATCAATCTATTTAAGTCTGATGACATCCAACATATTTGGCAATGTCACAGTAATGTATAGAAGGAAAAGTCTTTGGTCTTGAGAGCTTGATGGTGGAAACATCATGACGTGTAATGGTGCTGTATTTCAGCAGAATAATGAATGTTGTAGATTATATTGAAAGAAAATATAATCTTTGTTTAAATGCTTGGGAATAGCTATGGTTTAGCATGTGCAGTTTGGAAGAAAATTAAGAAGGTGGTATAATTATTCATGAACAATCCTCTCTCACCCTAAATTTATATATATATATATATATATATATATATATATATATATATATATATATATTGTGACTGATGATTTCTATATGCATGAAACTTCAAGTAGCATCAAGTGATAAGGAACAAATATATATTTATTTTGAGTATGTTGATTTCATAGGCTGGCTAATGAAATTCAAGAAATAAAAACAATAAAAATGATAATACTTATTTTATATTAGATTAGTGGGCCTTTTGACTAAATGGAAGCATGAAGAGAAAGATTCGAAAGTTGGAATTTTCAGACATACCTGTGTCCTTTATCAATGAGACAAGAACTAAACAATGAAGTGGGATTCACTTTTCTGGGGAATTTGTTGTTGCAACTTTCTTGGGGATATTTTGTATTTTTTTTTTTCATGTGTTGTATGACCATGAGAAATTTTATAGATTTGGTTGCCATGATTAAGGTTGAGAAGTGTTTCTAGAAGGCTTCTATTTAACCCTATTTATTCTTAGCATACATTATATATATATATATATATATATATACACACACACACACACACAACATTTTCTCATGCTTCTACTTGGTTTAAAGGCCTAATAATATAAAGTAATTATTATTCTTATTATCAATATTATTACCATTGTTTTCTTTATTAGGATTACTAACCACTTATGCTACCATGGTTTCCACTGGTATTCCTTGACTTTGATATTTAATAGCTCTGCACATTCATTTTTTTTCTTTTTTACATTGCGTATTGAGCACTCTTTTATATAAGCATTTTCCAGATAAGTCTAACTTTGACCAGAAAAAATGTTTTATATATAGTGTTAAAGACCAAATTGTAATTCGACAGGATGATAAAATAAAGCAGATAAGAAACCTATATCAATCTAACATACAATTACAAATATGCATTAACATTCAATGCCCACTTAGACATACAAGAATCTTCACAAATCTACATGCACATAGAATTAGCCACAGTTTTAATACATGTGACATGTGTCTGACCAATGAGAACTGACCCAAACATAATTGAAAATACCAGTATTTCTGTTATTGTCTGTTTTCTTTCAATTTCTGATGAAGTTTTAATAAAAGTGAAACATGTTTGATATATATTTCTTATTTGTCCTTTTATTTTATATATATATATATATATATATAAGCATCAATTCAATGATAATGAAAATAGGCATTTGATTATAATAATTTCAAAAGTACTGTATTCCATAGTGTCAAAATAAGTCTAAGATATTTACCTTGCACCTACAAGCCTTTAACTTTTAGGACGTAGTGTAAATTTTTGAGTTTTATATATAAACATAGGCAATTAGGATTTACTAATTAAAAAAGATACAAATTAGTTTCTTTAACACATGCTCTTCAAATTTCAAATTTTTCTCAATGAAAACTGATGTAAGCATTTATTTTTCATGTACTATAAAAGCACGGAATAATTTAAAAAAGAAAAGAGAAACAAGAGGTTGCTCTTTGTTAACATATTTCAAAGGGTAACAGTTAACAAGTGTAATTCTCTTTTAGAACTTAACCCATGATGACTTCTCTCTTCACAGTCAGAATTATACTAAAATCAAAGATAAAATCAAATATACTTTATAGATATAAAAAAAAAATCCTTTATAGTCAAAAGTATACATAAATAAAACAAGTATATCTTACTGAAGCTTGAGCATTGACATTTGCATTATGTTCCAAAAGTAATGAGACCATATCAGTATGACCTTCTTGTGAGGCCAAGTGAAGAGGTGTGAATCCATTCTGAAAATAATATAAAATGGTTTAAGCAAAAGAGTGAAAATTTAATTAAATAAAAATATTTAATGCTTTAAAAACAGGGAAAAAAACAAAACCTGATTTAAAATTAACTACTAATCTTTTAAACTGTTATATATTTTATTAAATTGAAATTTTTAAGTGAATAAACAGGTAATAAGAAAATCATGAAATTACCTTGGATTCTGCATTTGGTTTTGCACCAAATTCCAGAAGTGTAGTTGCAATGTCCATCTGATTTTTCTTTGCAGCAATGTGAAGTGGTGTGTAGCCATTCTATAAAAACAAACAGTTAAAAACACTAAGTAAAGTAAAAATTTATATTCATATATGTATGTGTATATATGTAAAATTGGGTGGGGGGGAGGTTAACAATTTGGATGGGTGGGATGGCTCTGAAAAGGGAACTGTATAATAAATAATATTATTGTAATAATTTAAAATATTTATTTTTATTAAAGATTTTATTAAAGATATATATCCAAGAACAAATAGTAAATAGTAAAACTTTGCTGAGAGTTATAATGGACAGGAGGTAGTGGGGAGCCATTGTCGCCAACAATTTGGACTCAAAACTGGCACTGAAGTATTATCTAACAAACAAAAGAATTTCATCAAAATTGGATGAAAACTTTGGTGAGAATTATAATTGGGGAGCCAAAACTGGCACTGAAGGGAGCCATAAAAAGCCAAAATTGGATGAAAACAAGTTTTGGACTCAAAACTGGCACTGGCACTGAAGTATTATCTAACAAACAAAAAGAATTTCATCAAAATTGGATGAAAACTTTGCTGAGAGTTATAATGGACAGGAGGTAGTGGGGAGCCATTGTCGCCAACAATTTGGACTTAAAACTGGCACTGAAGTATTATCTAACAAACAAAAAAATTTCATCAAAATTGGATGAAAACTTTGGTGAGAGTTATAATGGACAGGGAGGTAGTGGGGAGCCATTGTCGCCAACAATTTGGACTTAAAACTGGCACTGAAGTATTATCTAACAAACAAAAGAATTTCATCAAAATTGGATGAAAACTTTGCTGAGAGTTATAATGGACAGGAGGTAGTGGGGAGCCATTGTCGCCAAACAATTTGGACTTAAAACTGGCACTGAAGTATTATCTAACAAACAAAAAAATTTCATCAAAATTGGATGAAAACTTTGCTGAGAGTTATAATGGACAGGAGGTAGTGGGGAGCCATTGTCGCCAACAATTTGGACTTAAAACTGGCACTGAAGTATTATCTAACAAACAAAAGAATTTCATCAAAATTGGATGAAAACTTTGCTGAGAGTTATAATGGACAGGAGGTAGTGGGGAGCCATTGTCGCCAAATAATTTGGACTTAAAACTGGCACTGAAGTATTATCTAACAAAAACAAAAGAATTTCATCAAAATTGGATGAAAAACTTTGCTGAGAGTTATAATGGACAGGAGGTAGTGGGGAGCCATTGTCGCCAACAATTTGGACTTAAAACTGGCACTGAAGTATTATCTAACAAACAAAAGAATTTCATCAAAATTGGATGAAAACTTTGCTGAGAGTTATAATGGACAGGAGGTAGTGGGAGCCATTGTCGCCAACAATTTGGACTTAAAACTGGCACTGAAGTATTATCTAACAAACAAAAGAATTTCATCAAAATTGGATGAAAACTTTGGTGAGAATTATAATGGACAGGAGGTAGTGGGGAGCCATTGTGGCCAACAATTTGGACTTAAAACTGGCACTGAAGTATTATCTAACAAACAAAAGAATTTCATCAAAATTGGATGAAAACTTTGGTGAGAGTTATAATGGACAGGAGGTAGTGGGGAGCCATTGTCGCCAACAATTTGGACTTAAAACTGGCACTGAAGTATTATCTAACAAACAAAAAAGAATTTCATCAAAATTGGATGAAAACTTTGGTGAGAGTTATAATGGACAGGAGGGTGGGGAGCCATTGTCGCCAACAATTTGGACTTAAAACTGGCACTGAAGTATTATCTAACAAAACAAAAGAATTTCATCAAAATTGGATGAAAACTTTGGTGAGAATTATAATGGACAGGAAAGTGGGGGATGAAAAATTTGACTCAAAAGAGTATTATCTAACAAACAAAAAGAATTTCATCAAAATTGGATGAAAACTTTGCTGAGGATAATGGACAGGAGGTAGTGGGGAGCCATTGTCGCCAACAATTTGGACTCAAAACTGGCCTGAAGTATTATCTAACAAACAAAAGAATTTCATCAAAATTTGATGAAAACTTTGGTGAGAAATAATGGACAGGAGGTAGTGGGGAGCCATTATCTAACAATTTGGACTCAAAACTGGCACTGAAGTATTATCTAACAAACAAAAAGAATTTCATCAAAATTGGATGAAAACTTTGCTGAGAGTTATAATGGACAGGAGGTAGTGGGGAGCCATTGTCGCCAAACAATTTGGACTTAAAACTGGCACTGAAGTATTATCTAACAAACAAAAAGAATTTCATCAAAATTGGATGAAAACTTTGGTGAGAGTTATAATGGACAGGAGGGTGGGGAGCCATTGTCGCCAACAATTTGGACTCAAAACTGGCACTGAAGTATTATCTAACAAACTAAAAAAGAATTTCATCAAAATTGGATGAAAACTTTGGTGAGAGTTATAATGGACAGGAGGTAGTGGGGAGCCATTGTCGCCAACAATTTGGACTTAAAACTGGCACTGAAGTATTATCTAACAAACAAAGAATTTCATCAAAATTGGATGAAAACTTTGGTGAGAATTATAATGGACAGGAGGTAGTGGGAGCCATTGTCGCCAACAATTTGGACTCAAAACTGGCACTGAAGTATTATCTAACAAAAACAAAAGAATTTTCAAAATTGGATCAAAACTTTTGAGAGTTATAATGGACAGGAGGTAGTGGGGAGCCATTGGCCAACAATTTGGACTCAAAACTGGCACTGAAGTATTATCTAACAAACAAAAGAATTTCATCAAAATTGGATGAAAACTTTGGTGAGAATTATAATGGACAGGAGGTAGTGGGGAGCCATTGTCGCCAACAATTTGGACTCAAAACTGGCACTGAAGTATTATCTAACAAACAAAAGAATTTCATCAAAATTGGATGAAAACTTTGCTGAGAGTTATAATGGACAGGAGGTAGTGGGGAGCCATTGTCGCCAACAATTTGGACTCAAAACTGGCACTGAAGTATTATCTAACAAACAAAAGAATTTCATCAAAATTGGATGAAAACTTTGGTGAGAATTATAATGGACAGGAGGTAGTGGGGAGCCATTGTCGCCAACAATTTGGACTCAAAACTGGCACTGAAGTATTATCTAACAAACAAAAAAGAATTTCATCAAAATTGGATGAAAACTTTGCTGAGAGTTATAATGGACAGGAGGTAGTGGGGAGCCATTGTCGCCAACAATTTGGACTCAAAACTGGCACTGAAGTATTATCTAACAAACAAAAAGAATTTCATCAAAATTGGATGAAAAACTTTGGTGAGAATTATAATGGACAGGAGGTAGTGGGGGAGCCATTGTCGCCAAACAATTTGGACTCAAAACTGGCACTGAAGTATTATCTAACAAAACAAAAAGAATTTCATCAAAATTGATGAAAACTTTGCTGAGAGTTATAATGGACAGGAGGGTGGGGAGCCATTGTCGCCAACAATTTGGACTTAAATCTGCACTGAAGTATTATCTAACAAAAAAAAAAATTTCATCAAAATTGGATGAAAACTTTGCTGAGAGTTATAATGGACAGGAGGTAGTGGGGAGCCATTGTCGCCAACAATTTGGACTTAAAACTGGCACTGAAGTATTATCTAACAAACAAAAGAATTTCATCAAAATTGATGAAAAACTTTGCTGAGAGTTATAATGGACAGGAGGTAGTGGGGAGCCATTGTTGCCAAACAATTTGGACTCAAAACTGGCACTGAAGTATTATCTAACAAACAAAAAGAATTTCATCAAAATTGGATGAAAACTTTGGTGAGAGTTATAATGGACAGGAGGTAGTGGGGAGCCATTGTCGCCAAATAATTTGGACTTAAAACTGGCACTGAAGTATTATCTAACAAACAAAAAAAATTTCATCAAAAATTGGATGAAAACTTTGCTGAGAGTTATAATGGACAGGAGGTAGTGGGGAGCCATTGTCGCCAACAATTTGGACTTAAAACTGGCACTGAAGTATTATCTAACAAACAAAAAAATTTCATCAAAATTCATGAAAACTTTGCTGAGAGTTATAATGGACAGGAGGTAGTGGGGAGCCATTGTCGCCAACAATTTGGACTTAAAACTGGCACTGAAGTATTATCTAACAAACAAAAGAATTTCATCAAAATTGGATGAAAACTTTGCTGAGAGTTATAATGGACAGGAGGTAGTGGGGAGCCATTGTCGCCAACAATTTGGACTTAAAACTGGCACTGAAGTATTATCTAACAAACAAAAGAATTTCATCAAAATTGGATGAAAACTTTGGTGAGAGTTATAATGGACAGGAGGTAGTGGGGAGCCATTGTCGCCAACAATTTGGACTCAAAACTGGCACTGAAGTATTATCTAACAAACAAAAGAATTTCATCAAAATTGGATGAAAACTTTGCTGAGAGTTATAATGGACAGGAGGTAGTGGGGAGCCATTGTCGCCAACAATTTGGACTTAAAACTGGCACTGAAGTATTATCTAACAAATAAAAAAGAATTTCATCAAAATTGGATGAAAAACTTTGGTGAGAGTTATAATGGACAGGAGGTAGTGGGGAGCCATTGTCGCCAACAATTTGGACTTAAAACTGGCACTGAAGTATTATCTAACAAACAAAAGAAATCAAAATTGGATGAAAACTTTTGCTGAGAATAATGGACAGGATGAAAACAATTTTGGCACTGAAGTATTATCTAACAACAAAAAGAATTTATCAAAATTGGATGAAAACTTTGCTGAGAGTTATAATGGACAGGAGGTAGTGGGGAGCCATTGTCGCCAACAATTTGGACTTAAAACTGGCACTGAAGTATTATCTAACAAACAAAAGAATTTCATCAAAATTGGATGAAAAACTTTGCTGAGAGTTATAATGGACAGGAGGTAGTGGGGAGCCATTGTCGCCAACAATTTGGACTCAAAACTGGCACTGAAGTATTATCTAACAAACAAAAAGAATTTCATCAAAATTGGATGAAAACTTTGGTGAGAGTTATAATGGACAGGAGGTAGTGGGGAGCCATTGTCGCCAACAATTTGGACTTAAAACTGGCACTGAAGTATTATCTAACAAACAAAAGAATTTCATCAAAATTGGATGAAAACTTTGCTGAGAGTTATAATGGACAGGAGGTAGTGGGGAGCCATTGTCGCCAACAATTTGGACTTAAAACTGGCACTGAAGTATTATCTAACAAACAAAAAAATTTCATCAAAATTGGATGAAAACTTTGGTGAGAGTTATAATGGACAGGAGGTAGTGGGGAGCCATTGTCGCCATGAAGTATTATCTAACAAACAAAAAAAATTTCATCAAAATTTGGAAAAAACTTTGCAAAACATTGGCCAACAATTTGGACTGAAAAACTGCACTAAAGTATTATCTAACAAACAAAAGAATTTCATCAAAATTGGATGAAAACTTTGCTGAGAGTTATAATGGACAGGAGGTAGTGGGGAGCCATTGTCGCCAACAATTTGGACTTAAAACTGGCACTGAAGTATTATCTAACAAACAAAAGAATTTCATCAAAATTGGATGAACAAAACTATAATGGAAATGCATAAACTTAAAATCCAATTATCTAACAAACAAAAAATTTCATCTTGGAAAAATCCAATCACACACACGCATCTTGAAAATTTTATATAATTTACAGTACGCTTTACCCTGTACAATTCCTGGGGGCCACTCAAGGTAGATGGTTACGATAAGGGGTATTTTATATGGATAAGAGTCGAAGATAACAGTTAACTCTAGACTTGAAAAGGTTAAGATTGTAGTGACTGGGAAAACATCCTCCTGAAAGTCTGTTCCACAGAGCAGTGGTTTGCTGGAAGAAGCTGTTTGAGTGGAACTTCTTGCTGATGAAATACGGTGAGAATGTCGGTGCTTTGCTACTATGTAAGTGGCATAGTGGGTCTTATCTGCGAAGATTAGACTTAGCGGAACCAAGGAATGTAGTTTGTCCAAGCACTTTTCATGGAAGTAGCAATAGAGCGGTGAGAGACTCGACATATCCAGTCTGTGAGAGAGATGTTGAAGGGTGGAAAATAATTTTTCTCCAACAAGGACTCAGAAATGCTTTTGAACTCTATCAAGACTGGAAAGTGGAGACTGAGTAGCTCCCACCCAAATATGGCAACAGTACTCCATTTTTGGCCTGATCTGGCTTTTATAAAGGTAGAGGATTGCATGAAGTGTCAGGTATAAAATATGTATTTGGACAGCAAACTTTCATTCAAACATGTTTTCAAGGAGAATTAAAAGAATTTTTTTGTCTATTTTTTCTAGCATTCTTAAATTGTTATGTTTGGTGGGAGTAAGGGAGTATAAAAGTTGTCCATAGTGTCCATTGTCTCGAATGCTTTCAGCCAATTCTTTAGCCATTTTCAAGGGGTTTGTTGTGATTAATTTCTTTTTGTGATTGTCTTTTAAGATGTAATTTTGTAATGCATATTGTATGATAGTAGTGTTTATTCTGAACACTGCAAAAGGAACGTGGCTGGAATTGAAGTTGGCATCCTATTATTTAAAAAAAAAAAAAAAAAAAATAGTGTACAATTTTTTTTTTAAATTTAAAACTCAATAAAAAACTAATGAAATTTTCCTTATTTGTTATATTCAACGAAGTGTCACTTTGAACTGATTCCAATTCCAACAATCTAAAAATGCTAGGATTTAGTCAACCAACTAATGTTTAACTTACTGACAATATCTAGTTCTTGATAATGACTGAGATAGTTGGAAGTACTTGGAAAAAAAAAAAAAAAAAAAAAAAAACTTTGAAAAGGTTATTCATAATTTCTATCCTGATATAGATCTTATTCTGAAACTTGAAAAATATGATAAAAAATCAAATAAACAGATCTATCAAAGAAACAAATCAGCATCGTCTTGACATTGGACTTCACTTGAGGCGCTTTTTTGGGTCGTGGTGACATTGGATGCTTCCACTGACTTGATTGCTGCTTTGTTTCCGGGTCGTAGCCATAGCACCAGCTTTTGTCACCAGTGATGACCTTCAAAAAAAGGCTTGGATCAACTTCCCACTGTTCTTTCAGTTTACGACAGGCATCCTTTCAGCCATGGTAAAAATAGACGAAAAGGTGTGAAGCGCTTTAAAACAAATGTGAACCATAGAGACGTACGTCTTCCCATGATGACACCAGTTAGGACACTGATGCCTGAGGGTTGCCTCAAGTGGCATCTAGCAGTGGAAGCCTGAACTAATACGGGCTTGTCACACAGAAAACGATTTTGGTTACTTTTGTGTCCCCTATATATATATATATATATATATATATATATATATATATATATATATATATATACACACACACAGACAGACAGAATCTGCCCCCAAAATGTATACACATTTCAAGAAAAGAAAAATGTGTATAGATACTGTAATACTAAATTTATTCAGACATCACAAGATTAATACAAGTTACCTTTGGACTCTACAAACACAAAAGATGCTCAAAATGGTGACCTTTAGCTTCCAGACATTTATTAGTTTACTGAACTACTTCTTGGGCAATGTTGGCCAAAGGGTTCAGTTGGATGACATTGTGCTTAATACTTGAAAAGATATGCATCAAGTTTTAACCAATTGCAGAATTACTTCTGAATTTTGTCTTACCTTTGCGACTGCGTGTGGTGAAGCTTTGTTATCAAGTAGAAGTAAAGCAACATTGACATGGTTGTAGTGAGTGGCAACATGGAGAGGGGTCAGACCATTTTTGCCTTGAACGTCTGGGTCAGCATCCTTCAACAGCAACAAGCGAGCAACTTTGATGTTTCCATACTTTGCTGCGATGTGCAGTGGGGTGAAACCCTTCTGCAAGAGACAAGACACACAAACATTAAGAGTTAGATTAAAAAAAACAAAAAAAGAACAACAAAAAAAAAGAATCAATTATTTTGTGGAAAATGAGAACCAAACCACCAACCAAATCTGATCCTCAAAATCACCCAGCATCTGAGCTGGTAAACATGAATCACCCAATGGGTTACAATAGGAGACCTATGAGTCTCTCCCAGTTTGAATTGTTGCAGGCATAAGAATATTTCTTACAATTCTTTTCAAATATATATCTTTTTAAAGTAAGGGTGTGTCTAATAAGCCGAAAAATATAGTATATTTGACAACTAAAAAAAAAACAAACACTGAATAAACAAAGATAAAACAAGTAAAGCATTTGTTATAAGTACATTATTAGTTAAAAAGAAACTTTTTGTAAAAACAGAGTAGATTTTGTTTCTGTAATTTTTTTTTTGGACAGTTGGACAGATTTTATATAATTTATCATCAGAAACGAAAAAAAAAAAAGATTACATGAGAAATTGCATAAAAAACTAAATCAAAGTACATTATCTAGCGTATTCAATGAAATGTGCATGAAAGAAGAATTGCTGCCTAAATAGCATATATATATATATATATATATATATATATATATAAAAAGCATGTTTGGTTGAATAATCTAGATATATCTATTTTTATTTTAATCCAAAATGATCCAATGATTCTTGAGAATTCAAAAAATATAACTGCATTACTCTAGTTTTTCTCACATTATCATTTCTTTAAACTCTGAAATCTAGATAGTATACAGAAAAGAGATTCTGTAGAACTTGTTTCATCAAGAAATACTTACCTTAGTTGTAAGGCTATGGTCAGCACCTTGATCTAATAGTGCAGCAGCAACTTCTTCATGTCCCTCTTTGGCAGCAATATGTAGTGGAGTATACAGGTCCTTAGTGGTAGCATTTGGACTAGCGCCATGTTGCAAAAGTAGAACCACATTGTCTACGTTACCAAGTCGGGCAGCGATATGCAATGGAGTTTGTTGTTCCTAAAATCAAAAATAAAAATAATTCACATGTATAAAACATAACATGAATCTACCTATCCATATTTATATACAAGAGTTGGCTGAAAAGTTCATAGGCTGACTAAGACATAAATGTAAGTAGGCACACTAGTTGGTAGACAGCTGTTGTATTCTGGTACACTTGCATGTCTTTTAATCTACCAACTGGTGTGTCTACTTACATTAATAACTTGGTCAGCCAATGAACTTCTCAGCTGACCTATGTATATAATAATAATAATATTACAACAGATTGATTTGATTTGTTTGTTTGACAGTGTATCAACTCCTTATGGGTCATTTAATACCAAATTTAATTTTCTTGGGAGCTTTAAAGTAATAAGTAGTTATAATAATATGAAGTCATTCCTCCCGCTGCCTCTTAGAATCCTCTTCGACTATTGTCTTTTTCATTGATACCATTTTATGTAGTAACGTGGGGACCTGGAGATGATATAGAATGCAACACATTAAAGTTAAATTGTCCACTTTCAAAATAAAAGACACAAAATCAATCCTGCAGAATATACTTAAATGTAATTAACAATCAAAATGCAATAGAAATGAATTTTGTCAGAACTTCAACAAATTTCTAATGCACCAGAAAGGATAGACAAGTTTAGTCATTTAAAGCCAGGTGCACCTAAATGCACCGACATGTTTCATACACTTACAGTCAGGGAACATCTGAATGCACTTGCAATCAGGTAGCACTGTATTTCAATAAACAGTGTTAACACCAGATATATGATTAACTGGAGGTACCAGAAAAGTATAATTTTTGCAATATGTATAATTTTGTTAAAGTTGTAGATTTTCAAAATCATATCTTATAACCAGCAATATCAATGAATCTACATTTGGTATCATTTGAAAGAAATCATTTTACTTTCTGTTGTGACCAACTATATAGTTAAGAAATAACAAAAGAAGAGGTTGCAGATAAATAGTGTATTAAACAGTAAATACAACAGAAGTGTGTTACATGACCTACGAGTGTGTGTCGGTTGACCAGCACTCAGTCTATATCACTGTTGCTCCGAGACTTACTTTTCCTACTAACTTTATAGTAATTGGAATAATAATAGCCTCATTAGAGGGAAGATATCACATTTTCATATCAAATAAACTAGTAATATTTGATTTTGAACAATTTTTTAGAGATATCAATTCAAATGCACTAACATCACATTCAGATTATTCAACAATTCATTCAGGACTTTAACAAATGAAATCACTTAAGGGCCAATGAGACTGAAAAAAAAAAAAGAAAAAAAAAAAGTTTACTTACTCTTGCTTTTGCATCTACTGTGGCTCCATTTCTGAGAAGGATCCGAATAATGTCAGTTTGGTTGGCCCGGGCAGCTAGGTGTAATGCTGTTTCTCCTCGAACTGTAGGGTAGTCTGGGTTGGCATTGTGTTGTATCAGGTAGATACTGATGTTCATATGACCCATAAAGGATGCAACATGCAGAGGGGTAAGACCAGACTGAAAGATCAAACAGGAAAATTGGTTGTTAGCCAACAATTCAGGTATTATTTTACTATTAGTTTTACCAATATTTACCTTTTTACTTTATTTTACCAATATTTACTTTATTTCTTTACTAATATTTACTTTATTTCTTTATTTTACTAATATTTACTTTATTTTACGAATATTTACTTTATTTCTTTATTTTACGAATATTTACTTTATTTCTTTATTTTAACTAATATTTACTTTATTTCTTCATTACTTTATTTTACTATTAGTTTTACTCATTCATAAGATTAAAAAATCTTATGAATTTGAAAACCATACAGGAGATTTAAATCAGAAAAGTATACACAAAAAGTTTAAGATCCTAAAATTACACCACCTGATTGTTCTTAGAGCCCAGGTGACAGGTTCTTCAAGACAACAGCCCATAATTTTGGTTTAGAATGATATCACACCTACAAACTCAGTGTATAATAATATTTCACTCTTTCTTGGTTTATAAAGATACCCCCCAAATTTTGGTGTAGAATGATATTCACCCCCCATCTTGTTGTACAATGATATTCCCCACCCCCATCTAAGAGTACAATGATAATCACAGAAACTGTGAAAATTTCTAATCAAAATTCAACCAACTTGATTTACTCTCTGAAGACAGACACACAACTGAGTTGGGTGCTGTCCAAAGACAGAGATAGAACTGTGAAATGATAAATTTGTACAAACAAGCAAATATTACAGATTATACTTCATAGATAAAACTAACTTATTTTTCCTACTGGTGCCAGATTAAACTGACACAGCGTTTTGCCTATATATATATATATATATATATATATATATATATATTGGCCATTTTGTATAAAGTTTGTATTTTCTTCATTTCAGATGAAAACTTGGAAATTTTCCAACATATTTCAGTGAAATTTTCACTTACCAAAATTATAGTTTATTTTTATATATGGAAAAAAAGAAGATGTCAGTTTAAACTGATGCCAAGAGTATATGCATGAAATGGAGTGTTGTAATTAAAATAGAGACTTACCTCAGTCGTTGCTTCAATGGAAGCGCCGTACTTGAGTAGCAGTTCCACCACCTTGATGCGATTCTTCTTGCATGCAATGTGCAACGGGGTAAAACCATTCTGAAGAAAAATTAATGATAATTTAATATCAAAGAAAGATGGAAGATTTTTTTTTTTTGATTATATCACCCGAAGCAAGGTAATAAAGCCACTAAGACACATGGAGTTGCTGAGTTAGATATTATTTTATGTTGCTTTTTATTTTTTTTTAGAAAAAAAAGATAAAGTGTTTAAATTGCTTATGGAAAGTGAAATGCAGAGATTAAAGAAAATGTTAGGCAATTTAAAAAGGCATTTATTTTTAAACAATTCAAAAAAAAAAAAAAAAAATAAAAAAATAAACAAAGGAATGATGAAAATGTTTGATCCACATACCAAGGCTCTTGCATTCGGATCACTTTTTCTGTCCAGAAGTAATTTAGCTGTTTTTACGTTGCCACAATGGGCTGCCACATGTAGAGGAGTTAAGTAGTCCTGAAAGTAAAAGAACATAATCATAATTTAATTTTGATCACTTTCACACCTGAACCACCAAATTTTGATAATCAAACATCACTCCCAAGAAAGCAATCTAAGAGGGAGATACTTTATTTTATTGACAAAGTTAAACATTTTGTCTGCTCATGTCCTTCTTTTTAAATGACATGTCTCTTCTGGAAGTAGGCAATCATGGCTCTCCACAGCTTCCTTTCTTTTATTATTGTTGGGGCGCACCCACCTGACTGATAATGGACTTATCCCTCTACGACATAAGTCAGTGCTAGAGAGAGTAGTCGTGTTGTGTGAAGGATCAGGTTCAGCGACAGCAATCGAGATCAGGTTACCATTACATACCGTTGGACTGTAGACTTTTGCTATTGTTACTTACTAACCGGCGTTCCTTATTACTAATCACTCTGTTGTTAATTACCTCTTACAAATATACCAGTATTTATCCCTACAACTGTGTTTGTCTTTATTCGAATACACACACGCGGGAACACTCCCAACAACTCAACAATTATGTATGAATTGCTATAACTATAAATATAGAGGAGTGGTTTCCCCACTGCCTTCATCAGATTTTAATTCAGAGTAGTCTCCCCCTAGACTGGTCATCACTTGACGCTAGAGAGTCCAGTCTACCCTCCTATTTGACCCATGACTAGGAGTGTTCACTCATATGAATGTATAAATTTTTGAATGCATTATCATTAAATATGTTTTTACATTTCGAAGTATATGCATGAAGATGATTTGTGTCAAGGATTTCATTAGATTTAGTTTCATATTTTGAAAGGCTGTTCTTGTAACTTAGCTTCCAATGGTTCCTCGACAAGCATGAGAAGAATGATGGATTTTAATGCATTATCAGCTGTCAGATATTTTTTCCTTAGTTTTGCCAACTGAAGTATGAAGTAATTCATTAATTTAATGGGAAGTTAGGTGGTGAGGGGCTTATTTTGAGATGGCAACAGAGTAAGACATTAGGTTCATGGGTGAAATACAGACCTCAAATGTGTATATGTTGAAGAGAAAACACTTTATCTAGTTCCTGAAAATCTAAAGAGAAATCTTTTATCTTTTGTAGAATATTGGATTACTTACAACGGTGACATCATCAACTGGTGCTTTGTGATAAAGTAGCAATCGAGCACAATCAACATGGTCGCCTTGTGCAGCCATATGCAAAGGAGTCAACCCATTCTAAAGACAAAGGTAAAATTATGAAATTAGCAAAATAAATGTAAAAAAAATTTTTTTTAAATATAATAAAAAGCAAAAAGCTTGAATAAAAGCAAGTAAATATAGGTTATCAATTAAAATAAAGATATTACTTCATATTTCTGTGTATAAGGCAACCTTTAGATAAAATGAGGTAAAAAAAAAAAAAAAAATATAGTAAATTTTCATAGATTTATCCTATACCTGTAGTAAAAGGTGACTGCTTATTGATTATATAAAGATGATGCTATTGGAAATGTTACTGTATCCTTAGAAATACAAAATAAATAAAATAACAAAACAGATTCTATATCATATTGTTCCAACCATTGTTTTGTTTATGTTTCATCATGTGATCTCCTGCAAATACTAAGTTCTCTTCTTTTCCTATATCTAAACAGTTATAGACATCCTGGTGTATTAATGGTCATTTACTTATACTTTATTGACAATCACAAAATACCACTAATAAAAGGTTAATAACAGATAAAGGTTGCTGTGAATGCAATTATAACTCAATGTTTACATTTTCTCAGTTGAGCTTGCATAGATACAAGTTGGTTTCATTGATATGGAATTATTCTTTGAACAGGAAATTTATTATGAAGTTATGCCAGTAATATATAAGGTACAAATGGTTTTATTACTTTTATTATCAGTTTATTTGATAATGTGAATCTTTTCATGTATGTTATTGGTTATTGCACCGAGAGCAATGTCAGCTTACTGACAAACATCACTCAGAATTTAAAAATCTTGTGTATAATATGTGAGAAATATCGTATTTGCAAAAAAAAAAAAAAATATTTCATAAAAAGATACCAACTTTAGTTTTTGCTGAGAAGGGTGCTCCTCGTTCCAAGAGCAGGTCGACGACATTTTCGTGACCACTTCTAGCTGCACAATGTAATGGTGTCAATCCATCCTGCAGAAAAGAGAAACAAAAAAAAAAAAAAATGAAATTACACAAGAAAACGAATTACACAAAAAAGAAAAAAAAAAAACTCTGCTTGTGATACCAGAAATGACATTGTTACATTATCTTTGATACTTGAAGCCAAAAGAGGAAAAAGAAAGAAAAGGAATAGGGAGAGAGTGTAAGGAGACAAGATGATGATGAAAAGGAGAAATAACTACAACATTTGACACACGGGTATAGAAACACACACACACAAAAAGAGGGGGAAAATAATACCAATAACTAATGCTTAAATTAAATTTTAACTAAGTATAAAGATAATGAAAATCTGAAGTCAGTTGCCGAAACCTCCTGATGAGTGGACCAAACGATTACAAAATGATTTCATCTACAAAATGACAAAGTCAAGGTACTGAATATAACATCAACTAAGTGACAAAATTTTTTATTTTTATTATATATATATATATATATATATATATATATATATATATAGCATAGACCCACATTATAGATATTCATGGTTTATATAACCTGATTATACAAAGAATAATCACAAAGTAATACTACGTTTATTTCTACTAAAACTTCAACAGACCACAATAACAGCATTGGACAGAGAAAGATTTCAGTGATCAAAACTATTTTCCAGTCCTCCACATCCCTATTGGGCATGCATTTTCCCCATAGCAATGAATATGCTACTCTTGTAAAAATCTGCACCACAGAGGTGATCTCCTTTTGATACAAACCATTGTTGCAACTGCTAAAACACCTAACTGTGCTCATATCCCTTGTTTAGTCTCTATAAATGTTCAGCAACAGTTGATGAATGTTAAAGGAAGCAATTTTTTCAACATCGAGGTATTCCATGATGCTATATGCCCTTTTCCATCAGTTATTGTTTTACCAGATTAACACACAGATGTGACCTTTAACAAGTTAAAAAAAAAATTATGAATTATTTGCAAGACGGTTCTACCTCTCCTGCCATGATACTTTTTATGTTGTGGACAAACTTAATAGAATAGGAAGCATTATTTTCAGAGTGAATCTCAGAGATAATTGTGGTTCATACAGCCACATGTTATTTTCCTAAGCTTAGTCTGTACAAGAACAAATATAAAAAGTGATATGGAAGATTGGAAGATTGTATTGCACCAGTTCTCCAAGTGGAGAGAGCCTTTCTTGAAAATCGGCATTAAAAATCCTGGTTTTTATATGGGGCATTAACAAAAACCACTTGTGCCAATAAGAAATAAACCAATTACTTCAGGTACCAATTATGCGGACATCTCGATTGCTTACAAATGCAAGTCGATAACAAAGCTTTAATTTCCAGATAATTGTGTTAAAAATATATAACTACAGTAAACGTACCCGAGTTCTTTCTTCAATGACTGCTTCATGATCTAAAAGTAGGGTAACCATATTTGACTTGCCCCAGCGAGATGCCACGTGCAGGGGAGTGATGTTGTTCTGAAAGTAAAAAAAACATGCATACAGAATTAATTCAAATAAAAATACACACATAGATGCAGGAAATTGAATAGCAAAATGAAAAAAAAATTTATGTGACATGTTTCATCCTTCAAAAGAACTTCAGAATAAATAAGTTTTTTTTTCTCGATAGAATCATATCTAGGTGGATGGGACAAAATTCAAGAAACATCAGCAAAATTCTATATCATGTCTATATTAAATGTAGATATAGAATCTGTGAAAACTTTAGATTCCTTCCAATGTTCCCTATTTTTGGGAAAAAAAAAAAAAATCTAATCTCATTTAATTTAGTATTTCATTTGTCAGATGAGTTATTATAGACAATGTTTCAACTGAGTACCCTCTGGTCATCATCAGGTGTCCCTTGATTGGCTGATATTGGATATCTTTTGATTGTGATATTTTGTCCCTGTGATGTCAGTTATTGTTCATCCCTGATGAATTGGTGCTTCACTATCAGATTGAATTCTTGACCACAAGATGACAGTAACAAATGTATAATCAATCCATATATCCATTATGCCACTATAATGAAGGACATTGATTGAATTGACCATTTACGGGATATTTGGATAAATTTCACCATATAAAAAAAGAAAAGAAAAAAAAAGTGAATAATAGAACAAAATCAGCAGTGAAGAGCAACAAATGGCTAGTACAAAGTTGCTCATATGAACAGACTTCTTTTATTTAGATATTAGAGTGTAATTCTTTTTGGTGATTAGACTGTTGTACCAGAAAACCAGTCATGACAGATTCAAGAGGTTAAATAGCATACACAACTGAATGCACCTTTTCAATTTATTGTAAAATTTCATAAGAAGCACACTGGTCACTCTTGGACAAAGAATACTTTTTTTTATGATTAACAGATCATCACTTGTAAATGCACATATCACACAGCAGTCATTGACACTAAAGTGGGATTGGCATGCTGAGTTCTTATTCCATCAGAGTCCATTGCATACATTTTTGCAAAAATACGTTTGGAAAGTGTGTTCATTTTGTCTAGTTTTCACACGTCCGCACACTGAGAGCGCTTCCCTCTACTGAAAGGAAAACACTAGTGTTATATAGCTCTTCCAGTCCCAGACCCATGCAGACTATTGGCTAATACTGGCCCAGTATCGTTCATATGTAAATAGTCTGCACCACCTCCTCTAAGTAGAAGGTCTTCTCTCAACAACCCATTGTGAAAAAGAACGTAACTCCTGGTTCTTACAGCACCATATACAACCAACTCTGAATCTTTTATTGGGCCGACCCGATTCTCTGTTACAAAAAGGTAAGAAGCCATCTCTTCTCCCCCCCCCCAATTCCCAACTAGGAGTTAATAGCAGGGTGTATACTCAGTTCCTTAGCTTTAGTTGGAAGCTAGTCTTGGGGAAGGACAACTCTGAATTCAAAATCAGTTGTGTATGGGGTTAGCAACTCCACCCTGTAAAAAACCTACTTGCTACAGAAACCGAAGCAACAACACCTAGAGGAGTGAAGCTGTGGCCTAGTACCCAACAGGGAAATCTACATGTTTTATATATAATCATATACTTAAAACATGTGACTCCAATGAAGAAAACAAAATTTTAATGCTAAGTGTGTTAATAATAATTGTTAACTATGCTTAATGGATGTGTTCTAAGCACTGGCAGAGTTGTCTCCCTTACTGCTAATGTGGATTTAACCATTAGGCATTATTTAAGTTTATTGAACCTTCTCAAGGAACATTTTTCTGGTGAAGTGCTGTCGGTTTATTGAGGAAGATCCTGTTTTAACAACAATAATAATAACTAGCAGGACATAGATTTACTAATAAATGGTTTTAATGCTGCACTCTGTACTTTTGAACCAATGACCATTCCACGATAATTATAAGAGAATGACAGTCTCTTAAAATTATTGAAATGTCCTCATTAGGTCATGAAATATGTTTTAACCACATGATACAAACAACTGCCTTTATCTAAGATGATACCTCCTCCAACCCCACTGTGTCACATTCTCTTTTCGTCTCCCAATGTTGCTTTCTGTTTGCAATAGAAATTCATTGTAAATTGATGCCCAACCCAAAGATGTCACTTACAGAGTTACTTCTCTTAGCCTGTAACAAATTTGCAAAAATTAAAAAAAAAAAAGTTAATTCCAAGAGGTCACTCACAGTTCGTAGACAAATTTGTCCTCAGCAGACTGTTCGGTCAGGAAACATGATTTAACCCTTCATTACAAATTACCATCTGTGGGTCCAAAAGACTCACTATATTAAAAACCTGTCAACATCACTGCAGGATTATCCTTAACATCTGTATATTAATATGCTTGTCATGCTTGGTCAAGCAGCAATCAGAAAGAGAGAGGACACATGGATAAAAAAAAAAGAGAGATGGATAGAGAGAGAAAAAAAGGATGCAACACAGAGAGGGATTGGAGGGGAAGAGTTATCTTAAATAAAGGCAATTATTTGTAGTGAGGGGCTATGGGTTGATTTTGTGCAATGTATCACATTTCATAAGAAACTTTAGTTGCGTCTCTGGGATGCACTGGTAAGAAAGTTACTGCGTCTTTTCAGATTTTTGTGTGTCTTGGAGGCAGGAGGCACATCTATGTGCAACTCTGATCCTGCATGATTATCATTAATATTATTTGCTAAGAAACGTGTTTTTACCTTAGCTTTGTAGTTGACATCTGCACCTCTTTGGATGAGAAGAGTTCCAACATTAACATTGCCGTAATGAGCAGCAATATGTAATGGAGTAAAACCACTCTGAAAGAAAAGCAAATTAAATAAAAGACTTAAACAAATAAGAGTAAGTAGAAAAATAAATATAAAAAACTCAAAAGTTTATAAGAACATGACAAATGTAAAGTTAAAAATATTAAACACAAAAAAGTTAATATTTTTCAGGTTTCTTTTTGTTTCAATAATAAAGAAAATTATAAACAAAAATATCCCAAGTGTCAATTTTTGTAATATTACCAAGTAAGCAATAACTGTCAGATATATGTATTGGAATAATGGTAATTATGATACATGTTTGAAAATAATGGTAAAATTATGATGCATGTTGGAAAGTAATGGTAATTATGATACATGTTTGAAAGTAATGGTAATTATGATACATGTTTGAAAGTAATGGTAATTATGATACATGTTTGAAAGTAATGGTAATTATGATACATGTTTGAAAGTAATGGTAATTATGATATATGTATGAAAATAACATCTTTTTTCAGTGATACAGATTATGAAATATAATGCAAAACAATAAACATTGAAATAAAGTCATGTTTTAGATGACATAATGAAACAGAAACAATGAATGAAAGAAAAATTAATAAAAAAAATGTAATAGATTAATAAGTTATCAAATTTGACTGTGCCTACACTAATTAATGGCAAAGCTGGTAGGTATTTGCAAGCCACCTAGAAGCATAAACATGTAAAACAACCAGTTGCTTTTTTTTTTTTTTTTAAATAGAAACTTGTTAGAAATTATATTAATAATAAAGTAAATTCTTATGGGAGATACATAATATATATATTATTGTCTATTTATATTTATCAAATAGACAGAAATATTATATAAATATTGTTTCAATTCAGTGGAGTTTTATCATTTAAAAAAAAAAAAAAAAATAGACAATATAATTCTATCTTTAATATTTAAAAAAACAGTTAAGTTTATATAAAAATAAAGTCATAGTATTAATGCTAATAAATTGAGTATAGAAAATATTTAATATTAGAAAAAATCTATATTAAAAGTTCAGAGAAATAATATGTATGGTAAATCATAAGATAAATTATTATTATTATTATTATTAATAGTTGTGTTTGTAACAATAAATTAGAAGCCACTGAAATAGTAAGTCTTTAAAAATTAAAGAATTGTTTCTCATATTGTGAAAATTCAATATACTGTATCACCCGATATGCACCTATAATTTTCCAAAGGAAACACTAATTAACAGTTGAGCCATTCATATTTATCTTTCATTTTCATTCGATTTATTGTAGGAATAGATAGGTTCACTTATCATCCAGTTCACACTCCTCTCTGGTCTTTTGAACAGGAATAGAGATTTATTACTTGTTTCTTGCTTAGGATTAGCTTTCCGTTTCCTTCTAAAGTCTACCTCAACTCTATACTTCTAACATCTCCACAAAAATCTGTAATTTTATTTAGTATTTATTTATTTTTCAATAGGAGTGGATAGTTTCACCTATCGCCCAGTTCAAACTCCTCCCTAGTCTTTGAAGAATAGTAAAGGTTTATCCCTTGTTTCCTTTTAAGGATCGGGTTTCTGGTTCCGTCTAAAGTCTTCTCACTCTCTTTCACTCCCAGTAGCCCCATACGTCTTAGTGGCATTATCATATATATTTAATTCTGGGGTCATCAAAAGGACTAGTGTGTGAAATATGGGTAGTGAGGTGTTAGTCTAATACTGGAAACCCAGACATTAGGGTATAAAATACAGAATGATTTTGCACAGGGATCTTTTATTTTTCCATGGAAAAAAGCACACTGGCAAGAAAGCCAATATATTGTCATAAAATAATTGATATTTAATATGTTCAAATATTTAATCTTATAAATAAATATTGCTGAGGGAGTCAAAAGTGTATACAATAATAGTAGTGTCAAAGGAATAACCATCCTTTTGACACAACTTTTTTTTTTTGCAGATAGAAAGATTAAACATTGCCTAATATTTTATTATGAAAATAAAAGGGAAACATTTTATTTAAAAAATTCAATAACTTTGAGATTTGATTTATTGAATGAGATTGGATTCAATCCATTCAATAAAATGAGAACCACTTTTGGATAAATCTAAAACTGCTAGATTACTAAAATTTACTAAGTTTAATATGGCATAAAGCCATGAATAGATGGTTAGTATAATGGTTATCAGTACAGAAAATGCAATCAGCAGGCAGAGTTAAAATTTTGGTCAAGGCCGTTGTCTTCACTTTGTACCAATGCCCCTGGGAAAGGCATGAATTCGTTTTTTTTCTACTCCTACGTTAAATAGCAAGGTAGACTAGGTTCTATAGCCTGGGTAAGACTGCTAGTCTAAGAAAAGGGTAACACTGAATTCAAAAACCATGTATTCTCAATTACCAAATAAACATCTCCACTTTGCTAATCTTTGAATTTTTTTCAATCTCCCAACCTGGTTTTATTAATTTTTGGCTATTCAGTCACCCTACAGCAATAAGAAACTACTCCACTATCTTTCCAAAGAATGATAGACAACTTAGATATTAAAAATATGAAATTGGAGAGCCATGACTGTCTATATCCTGAAGGGACATGGTATTTTTTTTTTTTAAAAGAAATGAGGACACTACTCAATGCAATTATAGTGTGAAAGACTAGCTTGTTAACTACTAAGTTTATCTTAGTACAGTACAAAGTCACCAGTGTGGAGCATTATGTGATACTATTGATATTAGTAAATATCAATAGTATTATTACTTATTCTGGCACAAGGCCATTTTCGTGAAGCAAACAATGAGAATCAAACAGGAGAATAGTAAAAGACTACAAGATGAGATTGCTAACTATTGCTTCATGGTAAGGCACTCACACGACATTGCTTTTATGCTGAAAGCAAAGTAAACATACCAAAGATCTGATTTATTAATTTTGATTGATTTTTATGGCTTATCAACCTTTTGCAGGTTATTTAAAGCCTGAAAATATTTTCAGATTGTAAGAAGTTTTTGGAGAATAATTTTCTGATACAAGTCCTACAAGTTCAGCTGGAGGAAGAGGAGGTGGATTCATACTGTTCCTAAGCTCAGCTCTCTGATTTCCAACTCTGAGTTGTTATCCATTACACCACCCACACATCTAAACTTACAGCATCTGGCATTCTCAAGCTGTCAATCATCTAGGTACTGACAAGGCTCAACATTGCTTAACTTCGGAAATCATGTGAGAACTGGTGTTTCAACATGATATGGCTCTAAGCCGCAAAGATCTGATATTGAATCCTGAAATAGTTTCAGTTATTTCTTCGTGTAAATTCTTTTGCTATCAAGTTTAATTTGTGTCTTTGTTAATCTTATTATCTTTACTAGTTTTCCTTGTGTTATGATACAAAATGGCAGCAATATTTAAGCAATTTTGCAACTGCACTTTCTATATGTTTTGCATAAGTAACCTAGGATGTTTTATTTGTACAAAGGAGTCTTGAAAAGTTCTCAGCCTCACTACTTCCCAAAATCAGACAAAACACACAAACATCAGTATTTTTTTTTTAATTTTCTTGATCAATCTTTTCAGCTGTCAAATTACTTAGTGTTTACTGTGTCTCACCAGATATTTCAAACATCACATATCAATCTATAAGGAAATTACTTTATCTTCTCTTTCCAGCTTTCTTCTTCAAAAGAGCTAAATTGTGAATGTAGTTCCCTTGGGGGGGGGGTCTCAAAAATAATACTCAGGGTTCTTAAAGCTAACCCTCTTAAGTGATTCTATTCACATACTTGTATAATCTGTAGCACGAAACATTGATCATTTTATATTTGAACAGAGACAGAGGAAGAAAAAATTAAATCCAATATTTGTTTACACAAGTGTATTCTTTGAAACAATGTTTCATGGGGCTTACAGCACACATGCACATATATATATATATATATATATATATATATATATATATATATATATATATATATATTTTATTTAAAAAAAAAAAAAAAATTATATGTAGTCATTTAGTCAAATTTTGGGAAGTAGATCAAATCAAAATCTTTTCAGCAGCTGCCCATAATAAAAATCAACATTTATAAACTAATCCTTTTTTTCAAATTATTCAAAATAAAAATATCCCAAGAAATCTAACAATGTAACAAAAAGCAATGGATTAGAATCCTGGTCTTCCCTATTTACTTATGAGCTATTCCACTTATTGGTGTTGATTAATGCTGTTCATTACTGTAAGAACAAAATCTCATTTAATTAAGTGTGACCAATGAATATATAATTTACAATATGTTTTATATTATTATAGTTAATTTCATTTGAAAATTTATCTGCAAGTCAACATATGGTACTTAAAGCAACAGATCCTTTTTTTGTCTTTGGAAATGGTTAGCTAGCAGAACAAAAGGAATCTCATTCAGGTCATCTTAAGAAGTATCGCCTGTTAAACAATTTTGGAAGTTGGATATTTTTGTATGATATTATTCATGGTGAAATATCCTGTCAGCAACTCCAAGATAATCATTTCTTTCAACTGGCTTCATCACTGCCTACAAATTGCCTCTGAATCACTAACCAATTCACTGCCAGAGTAAGAAGACTCAGATAAAAAAAAAAAAAAAAAAAATTATCACAAAATATCTGATGAGCCACTATAGGAAAAGAGAACATTTTCATAAGATATCTCAAAGAAAACTTCCAAGGTACTTTGTCATATGTACAAGTGATTTGAGAATGAATCCATTCTTCCTTCTATTTGAAGTCCTTTCTATCAGCTGCTTTCAAGGACTTCAGCAAGAGTTGCAGTTTTTATAATGTGGCAGTAACTTTAATAAACAAATTTTTGTTATTTTCAATTAAGCCTGCAGTGACTTAAAATGCATTTGTCAAGTATGGCTTTACATCAATTCAAATCTAATAAATATTTTAAAGCCAATAAGAAAAACCTCTTGAACTAAAATCTTCTAATTTGGACTTCAAAGGATTCAGCCAACAACATCCAGATAAGTTGCTACAGCTTGAAAGGAAATGCCTTAGATTTATTAACCAATCAGAACTTTTTATTTTGACTCTCCAAAAACAGCTTGTCTGATCCGACTAACCTCTATATAAGGAACAATGTTCACCAGATCAATCAGAATTGAGCTTATTCATATCTCAGACAGTTATATATATATATATATATATATATATATATATATATATATATACACACACAGAGACACCGAACACACAAGCTATCCAGTCAAAGAATATCTTTCAGACCTTCATCTTTTCCCATTTTTTTATCTCTTGTTTTTCACTTCAATTCCTTCCAGTTTGATATTATTATATTGATTTCAGCTCAGAAAGTTCTGGGGATTGAGCAGATACTACACTCTGATCCTAGCATAACAGTCAAATTTATAAGCAAGCAAAATAACAGTATAAATTGGCAGTTATTAAATCAATGCAGATTTGGCTTGATGGTTAAAACAGCAAACAGAATTCAAATTCTGGTTGAAGTACTTTGCAATAATTCCTCTGGAAAGAGCATGAATTCACTTCTATCAGTAGGTCATATCAAAGAATAAACTCTTATAGTACCATGTAACCCAATACAACCTGTCATTTGAAGACTGGACTATTTTTTAAAACCAAGTGCTACTAAATTTTAAAATTTGCTATGTGCAAATTTGGAGGCTACTTTTAAAATAAGCTCAGCTAACTTGGACTACTAATGAAAAGACAATTTAAAATTTAGTATTAGTGGTTCAATTCATTACTTCGTAGTTCAATATGGTAACCCAACCCTGCCCTCATGTTAAAGACAATAGTTGCCATTATAAAGTTATATATTTATAAGCAGAGTTACTAGATTGGGCAACTTTTAAAAGCCTGGTGCTACCAAAGCTTGAATTTCCTTACTTGCCACTTGTTACTTTTTAAAATAAGCTTGACTAATTTGGGCTGTTTAGAAGAAAGTCAATTCAAAATTTAGTACCAGTGGGCATTTTTATATTCACTATTTGTATCCCAATCAATTTTTCATTAGCAAGTGGGGGATCAGAGTTGTTTTACAATTAAGTCAGAAATTGATCCCTCACTTTTTAGATTCATTAAATTTCTCTAATTTAGAAATATATTTAGACATGGTTGCCACATTGGGTGACTATCAAAAGCCCAACTTTACTAAATTGTTATTTTTGATATTTAACATTTTCCACTATTTTTTTTTTTTTTTTAGCTTGTCTAATTTGGACAAATTAAGAGAAGAAAGTCCATTCAAAATTTAGTATTGATCGGCTTTCAAATGTGGACCAATTTGTTGCTTGTAATCCAATTTGTCAGTTTTCTTGTTAGATAATCAGGATTTAATTTAAAATTAAGTGGATATTAAATGAGGCTCAGATCTGATTTACAACTAAGTCATGAACAGATCCCTCACCTTTTACCATGATAGATCCCATACAAGAAAACATTTATCAGCTTGATTGCCAGAATAGCCAAATTTTCAAAGTGCAGTGCTAGTAAGATTTGAATTTAGCTACTTGCCACTACTAGGGTAACGTTTTAAAATAAGCTTGATTAATTTGAACTTCTCAAGTTCATTCAAAATTTCGATGCATTTTCAAATGTGATTCAATTCACTACTTGTAACCAAATCTGTCAATTCTGTTGTTAGATAATCAGTGTTTCATTAACAAATAAGTGGATATGAAGTTGAGGATTAGATTTATTTTACACCTTGGTCATAAACAATTTAATCACTTTTTTTAAATCATTACATTTTTCTACTTTAGAAACAATACTTATTGATAGGGCTGCCGACTGATTGACTTTTGAAAGCCCAGCTTTATTAATTTACTAAATTTCTAATTTTACGACTTTTGAAGATACTTTCTAATTTGGGAATGAGAAAGAAGTCAATTCAGAATTTAGTAGCACTAGGCTTTCACTTGTGGACCAATCTAGTAACATGACTTAAAGGGACACTGGGCACCACAATCCGCAAGTAACCCTATTATCCTAAGAAATGCCATAAATGGTAATGTTAATATTAGCCATTTCCCTATAAGGAAACATTTGGCATAACATTGACTAGCAGTCAGTACTGCTTTCAGTTGAAATTTATAAAACCTTTCTCTTAAAACAATTTTTCTGGAAAATAGATTTTTCAAGTTCAGTAGCTGTTATTGCTCTTTCCAGTGTTGATGGGAGGAGTGGGGGTGATTCCTTCCTAGCCTTTTATTTGAAGTACTGTAGAATGCCAACATCTTGATTATATTATTATTTTCTCTTCAAGTTACATGTGCTATCCATTTTAGTTGTTGCCAGTGTTGGTAGTCCTCAAGTGATGTGGTTCCTGTTATTTGGTACAGTTCTTTGTTTGTGACTCTGTACTGTCAGTCCACAATTCAAAAGAAGGCTGATCTTTGCCAAGACCTTCAGGTTGCACTCGCTCAAAGCTTTTTTCTAACCATTGATCTTAGAAAACGGTTTTAAACAGCTGACAATTTAGATATTTCTGAACGAGTCTGGAATCATGCATAGAATCCACATGAAAATCTCAATATAACAAGGCTATTTAAGAACATAACTTCCGTTTTCAGGTTAATGTTTTGGTTACGTAGCAATTTGTGGTGTTGTGTGAAACTATCTATAGCACAGCCTATTCTATGTTTCTATTTCCTTTTTATACTAAATTTGTTTTAATGGTCCTAGCATAGTATCCCAATGATCTGCTGGGTCATGGGATGAGTTGAGATTTGAAGTCAATACTAATCAAAAATTTTTGCTTAAATGAAAATACATCTAAATCCAATTTGGTGATGAATGACAATTTTTCAATGAACTACAATAAAATTTGAAAAGACTTTTCAATTTATAGACAAGGCAAACTGATATTTAAGATTAACTATTTCTCTAGTAACAACAGCCAGAATTGAGATACAAGATGCATTAAAAATATTTATTCAGAAAATGCTAAATTCTTGGTGGATAATGATTTAACATGAAAAATTAAGCCTGACAACTAGAGAGAAGAAATTGTTATGTAGAATGAGTTGAAATTTATAAAATATTTGTTTCGGGTCATATTTGATAAAATAGTTGGATGTTTTTCACTAGTTCCCACCAAAAAATAATCTTTTTTTTTTTTTTAAAGTATGGGAGCTTAAAAAGATAAGAAAATTGTATTTCTTTTTCATCTATTCAACTAAGAAAATGTTCTTGCTCATAACATTTTGGTCTATGAGGAGCTACCACAAAGAAAAA